TTAGAGCAATATTCTTAGAATTGGTCCTTCCAGCAGCATCAGCATCACCTGGAACTTGTTAGGCAAATTCTTGACCCCAAACTGCCCTCCAGGTTTTAAGGCTCTCCCAAGTTTGAAAATCGCCAGGTTAGCGGATACTGGAGAAAAGCAGAGCTCAGAACCTGGCACTAAATTGGTTAATAAATGCTGGCCGGGGCCAGGTATGGTGGCTCACTGCCTGTAATCCTAACACTTTGGGAGATGGAGGCAAGAGGATTGCTTGAGTTGAGGAGTTCAAGCCCAGCCTAGGCAACACAGTAAGACCCCTTCTCAAATAATAAATTTTAAAAGAAAAATAAATAAATGCTGGCTGGGCATGGTGGTTCACATCACCAGTCCCAACAACTTGTGAGGCCAAGGGGGGAGGATCACTTGGGGCCAGGAATTCAAGGTTACAGTAAGCTGTGATTGTAGCACTGTACTCCAGCCTAGGCAGCAGAGTAAGACCTTATCTCTAAAAGAAATGTTTCAAGTGGTAACTGTGGTGGATGTGTTTTTGTCTGCCATGTGGTCCTTGATCATGGTGTTTGGCACCCTACATGGCCACATGGTAAGTTATTTTATTAATGGGGTTGCTAAAGGAGAAGGGAGTCAGTTTCAGCTGCTGGGGGAGCCTGCTGCAGATGGAAGAAAGCCAAGCAGAGACAAATAGCTGGGACTGGGAGAGATGACATTAACTGAAACTGGCCTCCAGCTCATGCTTTGGCATCCCAGCTCCATGAACCAACAAATCTCTTTTTGGTTTAAGTCAGTTTGATTTATATTTCTGGCACTTGCAACAAGAAGAAGCCTGGTCAGAAAGTATTTGAATTTCTGATTATGATTCCCATTTTATCGAATTCCTACAAGATAAAGGCCCTCTGCTTGGGGCTGGGGACAAAACCGAAAAGGACACAGCCCTTAAAGAGGCTGGAGTTTAGGGGATAGACAGGCCTATCAACACAGGGAATAAGTGACAGTGATTAAGAGCTCAGACCAGGGCCTGCGCAGTGGCTTGTGCCTGTAATCCCAGCACTTTGGGAGGCTGAGGCGGGATCACCTGAGATGAGGATTTCAAGACCAGCCTGGCCAACATGGTGAAACCCCGTCTCTACTAAAAATACAAAAAATTGGCTGGGCATGGTTCGGGTGCCTGTAATCCCAGCTACTCTGGAGGCTGAGGCAAGAGAATCGCTTGAACCTGGGCAGCAGAGATAGTAGTGAGCCAAGATCACCCATTGCACCACTCCTGCCTGGGCAACAAGAGCAAGACTCCTTCTCAAAAAAAAAAGAGCTCAGACCAGGTGGATAGAACTGTTTCAGATCCTGGCTCCACCTCCATGTTGCCCGTAAACACATAAGCAGTTACATTTAATCTCTCCATAAAATGAAAATAATACTAGTACCTACCTCATAAGACAGTGGAAGGACCTTAGAACAATGCCTGGCACATAATAAGCACTCAATTAATGGTGCTGAACTCACATGCTATGAAAGTTCATAGGTGGGGCACCTAATAAAATAGGAGGGTTAGGGAAAGGTTTTTGGAGAAGGGAATTGAGCCCTAAGGGAGATACACATTCCTTGGATAGCAAGAAGTTCAGGAGTATGGTAAGGAGAGGAATACAGAGCTGGGCACGGTGGCTCACACCTGTAATCCCAGCACTTTGCAAGGCTGAGGAGAGCAGATTACCTGAGGTGTGGAGTTCAAGACCATGCTGGCCAACCCGGTGAAACCCCATCTCTACTAAAAATAGAAAAACTAGCCGGGCATGCTGGCAGGCACCTGTAGTCCCAGCTACTCAGAATGCTGAGGCAGGAGAATCTCTTGAACCCAGCAGGCGGAGGTTGCAACGAGCCAAGATCGTGCCACTGCGCTACAGCCTGGGTGACAAGTGTGAAATTCCAGCTTAAAAAAAAAGAGAGAAAGGACTACAGGATGGGAAAGTCGCATAGATGTCAGGTCATGATGGGCTGGAAGGCCATATTAAGATACTTGGGCTAGGCTGGGTAACAAAGTGAGACCCCATCTCTACAAAAAATAAAATAACCAGGGGCGAAAGGGACAGGATCACTTGCACCTAGGAGTTTGAGGCTGCAGTGAGCTATGATTGTGCCACTGCACTTCAGCCTGTGTGATAGGGAGACTCCGTCCTGAAAAAAAAAAAAAAAAAAAAAAAAACTTGGGCTTTATCTTGAGGCAACAGCAAGCTAATGAAGCCTTGAGAAGGGCAGTGACATGATCTGATTTGTTTTTATAAACATCTCCTTGGCTATGGTCTGGGGAGCGAATGGCAGGAAGGAGATAACGCCTGTTATCAAGAGCCAGGCAAGCAATGGTGCTGACCTGAGTTATACTAATGGGCATGGAGAGGAGGGATGGAGTGGCAAGGAGACAGTAGGCAGGGGTAGTTAGTAAGCAGAGGTGGAGAAGGAGCACCAGAATTTCTGACTTGGTCCCCAACCTCAAGGAACCATCCCTGTGATAGGAAACACAGGAGGCTGAGCATCGTGGCTCATGCTTGTAATCTCAGCACTTTGGTAGGCCGATGCAGGCGGATCACGAGGTCAGGAGATCGAGACCATCCTGGCTAACACAGTGAAACCCCGTCTCTACTAAAAATATAAAAAATTAGCCGGGTGTGGTGGCACGCACCTGTAGTCCCAGCTACTCAGGAGGCTGAGGCAGGAGAATCGCTTGAACCTGGGAGGCAGAGGTTACAGTGAGCCAAGATTGTGCCACTGCACTCCAGCCTGGACAACAGAGCAAGACACGGGCAAAAAAAAAAAAAAAAAAAAAGAAAAGAAAAGAAAACACAGGAGGACAAGATGGAGGGGGAGGGGAACTCATCAGATTAGGACAGGACAAGCTTGAAGTGCTCAAAACATCCAGATAGGGCCAGGCATGGTGGTTCATGCCTGTAATCACAGCACTTTGGGAGGCTGGAGTGGGCAGATTGCTTGAGCACAGGTGTTCAAGACCAGCCTGGGCAACATGGTGAAACTCCGTCTATTTTATCTTTTTTTTTTCTTTTTTTTTTTTTTAAAGGCGAGGTTTCACCATGTTGGTCAGGCTAGTCTTGAACTCCTGACCTCAGGTGATCCGCCCACCTTGGCCTCCATAGTGCTTGGATTACAGGCGTGAGCCACTGCTCCCGGGTATCTTTTTTTCTTTTATTTATTTTTTAAGACAGAGACTCACTGTCACCCAGGCTGGAGTACAGTGGTGCAATCTTGGCTCAATGCAACCTCCACCTCTTGGGAACCAGTGATTCTCCTGCCTCAGCCTCTCGAGTAGCTAAGATTACAAGCATGCGCCCAGCTAATTTTTTTATTTTTAGTAGAGGGGGTTTTTTCCATGTTGGCCAGGCTGGTCTCGAACTCCTGGCCTCAAGTGATCCACCTGCCTCAGCCTCCCAAAGTGCTGGGATTACAGGCATGAGCCACAACCTCTATCTCTACTTGAAAATATGTGTATATTTCAAAAAAAACCAAAAAGATATCCAAGTTGAACCAATAACAGGTAGATGGCATCAGAGTTAAAAGCCTTGCTCCTGTGCACACCACACAGCACATAGCCATACCACCTAGGTTATTATCTAGGTACCTATGTACTTCACCTCCCTGGGCCTGAGTTTTCCGACCATAAAATGGGGCTGATAGCAGCATCTGCCTCTAGGGATGTTAAGTGAGTAAATAAGACAATGTCTGTAAGCCACAGGACACAGTAGGCACTCAATAAATAGTGATGATTACCAAACCCCAGCACTGATCCTGGCTGGAAATAAAAATGGAAAAACATATGAATGGGACAAAAAAGGAAAAAGATAAAAAGACAGACGGAGAAGAAGAACTAAAGCAATGAGTAAGGTGACAACAGAGGCTGGACGCAGTGGCTCAGGCCTATAATCCCAACACTTTGGGAGGCCGAGGTGAGATGATCTCTTGAGCTCAGGAGTTTGCAACCAGCCTGGGGAAAATAGTGAGATCCCATCTCTGCTAAAAATTAAAACAACTAGTGGGGGAGTCAGGGGATCACATGTCTGTAGTCCCAGCTACTCAGGAGGCTAAGACAGGAGGATCGCTTGAGCCCAGAAGGTCAAGGCTGCAGTGAGCTGTGATCACTCACTGCACTCCAGCCTGGGCGACAGAGCAAGACCCTGTCTCATTTAAAAAGCCAAACAGAAGGCCAGGCATGGTGGCTCCGGCCTATAATCCCAGCACTTTGGGAGACCTAGGCAGGCGGATCACCAAAGGTCAGGAGTTCAAGACCAGCCTGGCCAACATGATGAAACCTGGTCTCTACTAAAAATACAAAAATTAGCCGGGCATGGCACAGGTGCCTGTAATCCCAGCTGCTCAGGAGGCTGAGGCAGGAGAATCGCTTGAACCCAGGAGATGGAGGTTGCAGTGAGCCGAGATCGTGCCACTGCACTCCAGCCTGGGTGACAAGAGCAAAACTCTGTTTCAAAAAAAAAAAAAAGGAGACCCTTTTCACAAGATGGCGCCGAAAGCGAAGAAGGAAGCTCCTGCCCCTCCTAAAGCCGAAGCCAAAGCGAAGGCTTTAAAGGCCAAGAAGGCAGTGTTGAAAGGTGTCCACAGCCACAAAAAAAAGAAGATCCGCACGTCACCCACCTTCCGGCGGCCCAAGACACTGCGACTCCGGAGGCAGCCCAAATATCCTCGGAAGAGCGCCCCCAGGAGAAACAAACTGGACCACTATGCTATCATCAAGTTTCCGCTGACCACTGAGTCTGCCATGAAGAAGATAGAAGACAATAACACACTTGTGTTCATTGTGGATGTTAAAGCCAACAAGCACCAGATCAAACAGGCTGTGAAGAAGCTCTATGACATTGATGTGGCCAAGGTCAACACCCTGATTCGGCCTGATGGAGAGAAGAAGGCATATGTTTGACTGGCTCCTGATTACGATGCTTTGGATGTTGCCAACAAAATTGGGATCATCTAAACTGAGTCCAGCTGGCTAATTCTAAATATATGTATATCTTTTCACCAAAAAAAAAAAAAAAAATGCTTGCTATGTTCCAGGCACTGCTGTGCGCACTTCGTACACACTAACTTCTCACAACCTGAGTGTACTATCATTATCCCCATTTTACAGATGAGGAAACTGAGGAACAGAGTGGTTTCGTTTGTCACAGGCAGTGAGCACTCACACTCAGGCAGTCTGACTCTAAAGCTAAACTACCCCCTACACTTAATCAGCTGTGATCTGATACCCGTTATATACAAATCGCTATGGGAGCAAATAGCCAGTGAGGGCAGGGTTCAAGGGAGGAGATGGTATTTGAGTTGGGTCTTGTAGATTGAAGAATCTGCCAGCTTATAAGAAGGACAAGGGCATTCCAGAGAGGGCAAACAGCATGTGTAAAGTCCCAAGGGCTTGAAAATGTACCCCAGGTCCATATCAGAAATAAATTGCCCAGAGTGGCTGCAGTCCTGTGAGGACTATGGGAAGAAAAGGAGGGAGGGAAGGAATTTGGATCTCATTCTAGAAGCAGTGAGGAGCCTTGAAGTACTTCCAACAGGGCAGTGGCCAGTTCAGATATTTTAGCTCCCTGGTGCTGATGGCCCTCTGTAGAGCACACTGGCAGAGACCGGGCGGAGGCAGGGATCTGGGGTCAAACGATGAGATCAGAATCTCCTTTGTGGATACCTCCACCCTCCCCTACCACCCACCACCAGCAGGAAGCCAGGAGTAAGCACTTGGAAGAACAGAGGAAGTAGGAGGTCAAGCAGAAACAATGCTGCCTGGCGTGGATGAGCACCTACTCCCCCTCTCCCCAGCTAGGGAGCCTGCAGAAGGGGGCAGCTACAACACCCAAGACCAAAATGTTCCAGAAAAGATGGATGTGGGGAAGTGAGGGAGTTCCCCTGCTCCTCCCCTCTGGTGGGGGTAGCCTCCTGCCACCCCCTTACCCTACCTGCCCTCTGGGGACCCCTCCAAAGTCTGCCAGCTCACCCTGACTCAGCTCCAAGCACCTGCAGCCTCCTGTCCGTCACCGCCCAGCCACCACCACTGCCCGTCCTCCAAGTTGCCCACGCCCACAGCAGCTGTTGGGAGGCTGCCGAGAACGCTCAGAGCGCGTTGATGATGCCTGGACTTGGGCACTCACAGCCGCCGCCTCGGGCTCTGGGACCCAGCTCCCTTCCACATCCCACTGCTTCGACCGCTTCTTCCAGGGATCCCTGAGGGTGCTCCGGGTGGTGCCAGCCCTTGAGACCCGCTGTCCCTGGTTCTCCCCTCATTCAGGCAAGTTTTGGTACATTTGCTTTTATTCCTTCCAGACAAAGACCCACGAGGGGCTGCACTTCCCTGGTGGGGACCCGGTGGAGCGGAGTCTCCCAGGCCTCAGGGATGCGCGATCTTGGTGGAGGCGACTGTCCACTCCTTACTGCACACCCTCCATCATCTTCAGGAACTCTGCGGGAAAGGAGAGGGAGAGGGTGAGGGTTGCAGGTCCCACCTGGGGATGCAAAGGCCAGGCCAGGGCTCCAGCATTCAGAGGGGATGACTTTTTTGTTTTATGTTTTTGTTTGTTTTGAGACGGAGTCTGGCTCTGTCGCCCAGGCTGGAGTGCAGTGGCACAATCTCTGCTCACTGCAACCCTGCCTCCCAGGTTCAAGCGATTCTCCTGCCTCACCCTCCCAAGTAGCTGGGACTACAGGTGCATGCCACCACACCTGGCTAATTTTTTGTATGTTTAGTAGAGATGGGGTTTCACTATGGTAGCCAGGATGGTCTCCATCTCCTGACCTCGTGATCCACCCACCTCTGCCTCCCAAACTGCTGGGATTACAGGCGTGAGCCACTGTACTTGGCCTTGTTTTTTGTTTTTGTTGAGACAGGGTCTCACTCTGTTGCCCAGGCTAGAGTACAGTGGCACAATCATAGCTCACTGAAGCCTGGACCTCCTGGGCTCAAGTGATCCTCCCACCTCAGTCCCTGGAGCAACTGGGATCACAGGCGTGCCACCATGCCTGGCTTTTTATTTTATTTTTTGTAAAGACAGGGTCTCACTATGTTGCCCAGGCTGGTCTCAAACTCCTGTCCTCAAGCAATTCTCCAGGCTCGTCCTCCCAGCGGGCTAGGATTTTACAGGCCTGAGCCACCGCGCCCTGCTGCCTGGTCATTAATTGATAAACTGCACAGAGTCGTGGAGCGCTTCTATGCCAACACTCAGCAGACTAGGAGGAACTTGTGAGGTTACGCCACGCCACGCCCCGCCCCCACCACAAGGCCAAAGACAGCGCGCGGGAGCCAGCCAGCAGCACCAGTACCCGCCGCCCCTGTGGCTCCCACCCTCTCTTCCCAAGCTGCCACGGCCCTCACCGTCGAAGTCAATGCGGCCGTCGTTGTTCTTGTCCCCGTCTTTCATCAGAGATTCGAGCTCTTCGTCCGTCACGTGCTCCCCAGAGGCCCTGAAAATCTCAGCCAGCTCCTCCGCGTCGATGTAGCCGTCTGCGTTCCTTCGAGTCCGAGGGATCGGGGAGGGCTCAGGACCGGGGCGAGCTGCCCTGGTTACGCTGGACGCCCCGTCCCCACACCGCGAACCCGGGCACCTTCCCGCGTCACCGGTCGGGCTCTGACTGCTCAGCCCCTCCCTCGGCTCCCAGGCCCCCAGCGCACCTGTCGAAGATGCGGAAGCACTCGGCCAGCTCCTCCTCGCTCTTCCCCTTCGCGTCCTCTTTCATCTGGCGCACCATCATGACCAAGAACTCCTCGAAGTCAATGGTGCCGCTGCCTGCGGGGAGCAGGTGGTGGACTGAGCCTGAGCCCGGCCGCCGCTGCCTCTCCCCACCATCGCCTGCCTCCGAGGGCGAGCCGCTCACCGTCCTCATCCACCTCCTCGATGATGGCGTCCAGCTCCTCCTTGGTGGGTGTCTGGCCCAGCATCCTCATCACGGTGCCCAACTCCTTGACGCTGATGTCCCCACCACCATCAGCATCAAACATGTCAAAGGCAGCCTTGAACTCTGCGAGGGAGAGCAGAGGGCAGAAGTGAGGCAGGCTGGACTGTCAGCCTCACACTTACCCCCCAACCCTGCCCGGAGGCCAACAGGTTCCCAGCACACATCCACCCCGCCCCCAGCCTGCTTGCCTCACTCACCAGCGATCATCTCCTCGCTGAGGTAGGACCGGGCCTCAGCCTGCTGGTCCGTCTGCAGGAGACACAGAAAAAGTCAGCTGAAGAGGCAACCCTAGAGCAGCTCCTCACCTCTACCCCATTCACCCCAACCCCCACTCTGCCAGCGCTCCTTGGTCCTCCAGAAGAACTTCAAACTCGTCACATATTTGTGTGCCACCACAGCACCCAATCAGTTTTGTTTTGTTCAGAAGACAAGATCTAGCTCTGTCACACAGGCTGGATATGTAGTAAGATCACAACTCACTGCAGCCTTGACCTCCTGGTCTCAAACGATCCTCCTGCCTCAGCCTCCTAAGTAGCTGGGACTAGTGTACACCGCGCCTGGCTAATTTTTTAAATTTTTGGTAGAGATGGGGTCCGACTAAATTGCCCAGGCTGGTTTAGAACTGGGCTCAAGTGATCCTCCTGCCTCAGCCTCCCAAAGTGCTAGGATTACAGGCTTGAGCCACTGTGTCTAGCTTCTGACCCCCGTTTTTTGTTTTTGTTTTTTGAGACGGAGTCTCACCGTGTCACCCAGGCTGGACGGAGTTCAATGGTGGGATCTTGGCTCACTGAAATCTCTACCTCCCAGGTTCAAGCAATTCTCCTGCCTCAGCCTCCTAAGTAGCTGGGATTACAGGTGTGTGCCATCATGCCCAGCTGATTTTTGTATTTTTAGTAGAGGCGGTGGGCTCACCGTGTTGGCCAGGATGGTCTCGAACTCCTGACCTCGGGTGATCTGCTCACCTCAGCTTCCCAAAGTGCTGGGAGCCACCGTGCCCAGACTGACACCAGTTTTGAGAAAAAGAGAGGAGACAGCAAATTAAGCTCAAGACCTTCTCACTTGTCAATTGAAGGCCAAGTCAGGAATCCCCCCAGTGGCCTTAGGCAAGTCACTTAGCGTGCCTTCATCTCTTCTCTGTAGCTTTTCAGGGATGAGATATCAGGGGTGTGAAAGGGCTTTGTAAAGGGCTAGCACCATCCCAGCACTATTTTCCAGTTTTCTCTAACTCTGAATGGTGCCCAGTACTTTAATAGTGGTTCAATAAAATGTTCGTTCTCAGATAAATAATAATGCAACACAAGCCGCGCACAATGGCTCACCCTGTAATCCCAGCACTTTGGGAGGCTGAGGCGGGTGGCTCACAAGGTCAGGAGTTTGAGACCAACCTGGCCAACATAGTGAAACCCTGTCTCTACTAAAATTACACAGAATTAGCCGAACGTGGTGGCGGGTGCCTATAATCCCAACTACTCAGGAGGCTGAGGCCGGAGAATCACTTGAACCTGGGAGTCAGAGGTTGCAATGAGCTGACAGCACGCCATTGCTCTCCAGCCCTGCCAACAGTGTGAGACTCCAATTCAAAAAAAAAAAAAAAGGACACAAAGTTATTGAGCACTTGCTGCATGTCAGGCCACAGATCAGGCACTGGGACCACCAAGAAGGGACAAAGGATACATCCTCCTGCCCCTCAGAGAGCTGGTGGAGTCAGAGATCAGCTTCCTTCTTAGGATTCAGTCATTGGAGAAAAGGCCTCTCATATTGGGCAGAATGTGAGGGAGGCCTTGACATGAAAGTGAGGTTTCTGTGGGGGCTTCCAGGTCACATCCAAGCCAGGCCATCTGGGTCGGACGCTGTGGGCTGAAGCTGGCAGTAAGGATGGGGTAAGGCTTCCAAGGAGCTCTTCAGCCGGCTGGCCGCTGGCCCTCCTCCTTCTCCCCCTCCTTCCTCTCTTCCTCTTTCCCTGTGCCAGGAGGGCAGGCT